AGAAGGAGTACCACACTCCCCCCGCTTCTTTGAACCTAATAGATTAATATAAAAGAAGATAGTAACATCCTATAAAAAATAAATAAATAAATATGTGTACAAAAGTGATCAAACTTACCTGAATGAAATGAATTTCAAACTTCTGCTCGAGTGGAACCACTGGCCCGCTCACTGTCCCCAGAAGGAGAGCAAGGCCAGCCTGCGCTATCTCCCCTGCCTCTGTGTATGTGAGGCTGTACTTGACCTGAAAACACAATGGCACTCCACACACACCTGTGCCCGCTACATCAGTAACTCCAAATACACAGAGGAGGCAAATCCTCTCCCAGTTCTCCACTCACAGAAGCTTTTCTCTCCTGTCCCATCAGATTTCAGGAGGTAACGCCTCAGCACCACCCCCAGCTGACAGGGTCATTTGAGCCTCTCTGTACCTAGTTACATGAATTCCAAATCAGCAGGTTTGAACAGAGTGTGATGAATCTCTGCAGAGGAAATGTGTTAAAAGCAACAAAAAACAAATTCTGACATATTCGTGAAAGTCTCTAGGTTTGTGGAGAAAAATCACACGCAATTATTTCAGAGACCTTACTTAAGGAAGCATCCTCTAATGACACGGTGTACCGGCAAGCAGGAGGGCAAGCCAAGAACACCAATACCTCAGGACAGGCCAGAACCCCCTTTGGAGGGCGTCCAATTACCCGCTCAGGACCACGCAGCTTGAGTCTGCCACACACAGACTCAGCTTTCCAAGCCAAATCGGGTACCTACCTCAAGAACGACATTAGTGCAGATTTTAACATCCCCAGCCTCAACAAGAGTCTGGTTCAATACGATCGAGTCCTCCAGTCGGGTTAGTGTTTTATTCAGAGACTGAATGAGGATGGACTGAACAGTGATAGGGATCTGCAAAGCAAAGGAGAGCTGGCTCACTAAGGACACTGTCCAACAGAGATGAATGAGTCACAGTGACGAGAACCTGAAGACAAACCTCTGCAAATACACTGCCAAGCAGGGAAAAACAGGCAAAAGAACAATATGCACACTCTAATTGTATACTCGCAAAAATACAGATAGATATTTATACGTACATGCCTTTACATAGGAAATACCAGAGAATATAACCACAACTTTAGAAGTGGTTCTCCCTGAAAACCTACGTTCACACAAAAACTTGTACACAAATGTTCACAGCAGCATTCATAACAGCCAGAAACTGAAAACAATGCAAATGTCCATCAACTGATAAATGGAAAAATAAAATATAGTATATCCATATAAAAGAATATTATTCATCCATAAAATGGAATAAAGGGCGGATTCATTCCACCACATAGATGAATCTTGAAAACATGCTAAGTGAAAGAAGCCAGACGCAAAAGGTCACATATTACATGATCCCATTTATAGGAAATGTCTAGAACAGGCAAATCCACAGAGACAGAAAGTAGATTAGTGGTTGCCCAGAGGCTGAGAGGTTTGGAGAAGAATGAGGAGTGCCTGCTAATGAGCACAGGCGTTCCTTCTGGGGTGATGAAAATGTTCTGGAATTAGGTAGTGGTGATGGTTGCACAACCCTGTGAACACACTACAAACCACTGAATTGTACACTTAAAAATGGTGAGTTTTATGGTATGTGAAATATATCTCAAACATTCACACACACTCACAACTCCATCATATCACCCAACGTGTATACGCTCCCCTCCACAGCACAGCTCCTACCGATCGTGCACTCGCTCTGTACACACGTGTGCCCGTGCTCCACAGTCCAAGGACACGCCCCCCACCCCCCACGCCCTCCCTAAACATAGGCTTGACCCAATTCATGAACAACTTCTACACACACCCTTACACATACACACTAGGTGGTGGGATCATGGGAAGAGAAAACAAGAGACAAGTCTTTCAAGCAGAAGCAGGAAGTCCTGAATAACCCCATGCTATTAAAGGACATCTTTCATTTATGGCCACTGGCAGCAGAGTGACAAGCAGCAGGCAATCCTTTAAATGGCTCAACCCTCTAGGGAATTGGCCTCTTCATACTGTGCAACAAATCTGACATTTGCACTAAATGTCAGCACTTAGAAACCACTGTTTAGGAAGGAATCTACCTTGTATCTAGTTGTTTATATTGAACTTTGCCCTCAATTGTGTACCATGCTCCCATGACCAAGAACACCTGTGACTGTCCGTGTAAGTCAAACCTCTAAGAACGTGCCATGGTTCGGAGGCAAAGACAAGCCGTCATGTGACAAGAGTGGCAGGAGGGCAACACCAATCGCCACAACACCCTCCACGTAACAAGCCCTATGGGTCGGTGTAAGAGCTACAGAGGGAGCCCCTTGCTATGAGCTCTTCAGTTTACATCCTCAAAAGACAACCCTGGACTCCTTTATCTGAACCTACTGATCCCTGGTTCAGCAATAATGCAGGGTTCCAAGAAAATGCACACCCTTCCAGACCAGCCTCTGACAGAACCGTTCTGGTGGTGTGGGGGTGTGCTTGGCAGAAACCAAAGGGTCCAGGTTAGACAAGCTTTGGAAAGACGGATGGATGAGAGTAGGTGGAAAGAGCTGCTCTGGTCTATCAACAGCCACTGGAATGGTCACAGAATGAAAATGGTAGGGCTACTCTGGTTTCCTGAATGTCCTATTCATCCATATCCCATTTCCACACTACCCTGTGGCAAAGAACTAAAGGACACTTAACAATGAAATTATAGAGCCATACCTTCTTTCGGACGGTTCACTAGATATGAACTGATTCCAGGCAATCCTAACAGGCTGGGGAATGAGGAACCTGGATCCAATTTTTATATTCATCATCTAACAAATCTTGGAAGTTACTTTTTAAAAATACTTTAAGCAAATCTCTGATATGAGCTGACATGTTGTCTGTTATAGAGCACAAGCTCTGGTATCACACAGATCTGAGTTATAAGCCCCAGTCCGTCACTTCCGGACTGCACGGCCACAGGGTGCGAAGAAAAACGGTGTGTGAAGCTTGGAACTCGGGGTCTGGCACACAGTACAGCTCGTCCAGTGTCATGGTTGAGAGTAAGGTCTTTGGGGATTCCTGTCCCAGCTCTGCCACTGCCTCTCTGGGTGGCCTTGAGCAAGCTAATTCACTGCTCTGGAACTCATGTGCCAGGGAGTGACAACAACAGTACCTACCTCCTAGGCTTGCTGAGACAACGGACCTCGAACACGCACGGGACTTAGAACAGTGACGGCACACAGGACGTGCCTTTCCATAACATCCCATCATCCTCACAACAGGCCTTCCCTGCTTGACTGCACCAATCTCCTAGGCATTCACTCAATTAACACGTAACCCACTGAGTGCCCAGCACTTACGAGGCCCTACCCTAGCGCTGCAGATCTAGCCTGCACAAGGCAGAGAGGGTTGCCGCCCCCACAGACAGTTCAAGTTTGAATGGTAGAATCAAAGCACTTTTTAGAGGCTGGAGGTATTCGAGAGCTAGTCTATTATATGGTTTTCAAACTGGGTTCCTGGGAGCCATAGGATTCCTCAGAAGAACCAAAAAGGAGAGAGACGGGAAGGCCCGGCAGGTGGAGGGCTCTGGGCCCCACCCCTGCTTCAACCACGGGCTTTGGATTCAATCCAAGTTACACATTAGGGAGAGTTCTGCTTGAGATCACATTTGAAAAAACTCTGCAACTAAAACAAGTTTGAAAACACCTTCACAGATGAGGAAATCCAGACCCACACACGGAAGTGGGAAGCCCAAATTCACATGACCATTTCCTTACAAGTATCTACCTCAAATACGTGTTTGGGTCTCGAGACTTAATGAAATCGGGTACAGTAGGTAGCGTGAGCACTGTCCCCAGTGCTCCCGGGGCGCCAGATGCTGCACGGAGCACGTCATGTGCATCCTCCCACTGGAACTTCACGTAGACCTCTGGGGCGACACTCACCATCTGCTGGACAACTGGGGGAGTGAGGCACATGTCACAGGAGAAAATAATGGCAAAGCTGAATTTTGAACCAAGGCCAGCCAATCCCATGAGCTCTGGGAGACTGTGACAAGGTCAATGCCTTGGGCCTCCTTGGAGACTGTATTCACAGACCCAAAAATAAGGGGTAGTAGATCCATGTTCCTTTGCTCTGACATATCCACAGAAAGACCTTGGCCACCTGCTCACAGCCTGACAGAACCTCTGAGCCAGGGCCAACAGAACCTACACCCATACCTCAACCCCTGAAGCTACACTGGAGTGTCCCGCCCCTACACAGGTGTGGACATTCACGGGGCAAGATGTTTCTATCTTCTACCCGGGACAGATAGCGCCTTGGGAGCAAGCCAGCTCTCTGGACAAGAGACCAAGAAGATCTCAAGGGATGCTGGGGAAAGCACAGAAGCCAATCACACCCATTGTCTCTCAACACAGCTATGCCATTTAAATATGAAAAAAAGTGCTAACTTCGAAAACAGGGAATTTGAAAATCTGCCCCCCCCCTTTTTTTTATTACGTTATGTTATTCACCATACATCATTAGTTTTTGATGTGGTGATCCACAATCCATTGTTGTCGTATAACACCCAGTGCTCCATGCAGTACGTGCCCTCCTTAATACCCATCACCTGGCTAACCCATCCCCCCACCCCCCCTCCCCTCTAAAAACCTGTTTGTTTCTTGGAGTCCATAGTCTCTCATGGTTCATCTCTCCCTCCGATTCCCCCCCTTCATTTTTCCCTTCTCCTAATGTCCTCCATGCTATTCCTTATGTTCCACAAATAAGTGAAACCATATGATAACTGACTTTCTCTGCCTGACTTATTTCACTCAGCATAATCTCCTCCAGTCCCACGTTGATGTAAAAGTTGGGTATTCATCCTTTCTGACGGCTGAGTCATATTCCATTGTCTATATGGTAATTACAAAAGGGTCGGATGCTACTATGAGCTTCCCTATTTCACTGGTGCTTGCCTTTTGGCAAATGTTGTGACTGGCAGTAAGGTATCCTTGTAATCCTAAGTGTATTCATCTCAAAAGGTTTAGAAATAAGACCGTGCATTATAAACTATTTTACTTTCCATCAAGAAATACTCTTACCTCTGCCTTTGTTCTTAAACCAGGCACCTAAACAAAAAGAAACAACAAATTTTGTTAAGTACAATGAAAAGCATTTGTATTGCTTTTTCAGACCATGGGTTAAAGGGCATAACTATCTTATTAAAGACTTCATAAAGAGGAAAACAGAATTTCCTTAAGAATTGCCGCCTACATATTTTCATATCTATGTCATAATTATTTCCTTTCCTATATTCATTTCCCTCAGATTGGAAGCTTAATAGAACAGAGCAGCCCCATGGAGCTGGTCTCAGGAAGTCTCCCTGCTTCAGTGTAATCGTTCAGTACTTTCCACATGGTCACCAGTGACACAGCGCTGTGGGGAAGACGTGGCTCCTAGCCTTCCGGTCACCCTCCTGCGCCTGTCCACACTGGAAGGCCACCATCGCTGGCCCGGGCAATTTCCAATGCCTCCTAACTGCTCTTCCTGCCTCTAGGCCAAACCCCTCAATGGTGAGCTCCTGCCTCCCCAACACAGCCGAGCACTCCTTCCGAAGGCCTCGACTTCCCTTCACTTCCCATCCCCAACTCCCCCAGCCTTACTTCTCATCACAGGACACCCTACAGGGCCAAAGGGAGCTTCAGGGAGGGGGCTGAGTAGACATGCTTGGAGAGGCCAGTGCTGAGAGAGCTGTGGCTGCATGCCTGACAGGCTATTTCCAGGACCACCATGAGAAGTCAGCTAACTGGAAGAATTCACAGGCCTACGTGGCTGATTTATAAGAAGAGGGGAAGAGGGAATGGGAAGGGAGAGGAAAATCGTCAACCTGATTCTGAAGACTGCAGTCTGGATGAATAACGATGTCATGGACCACCCTACTCCTTTCCTGTTCCCCCCAAAATAAGGAAATCAGGAGGTGAGGGTTCACAGTAATCATACGGTTTTTTCATCATTGAAAAAAATCTTCACCTCTTGCAACCCTCCATGCCATCCCCCAAATGGGCCAGTGGCCTCCCTTATCTCTTCAGGCTTCAGTCACTACAACCAGAAAGAAGGGGCCTCTATACTGCCGTGACCTCCCGTGACCTCTTCTCCTTCACCAGCAATCCTATTTCCTGCCTGTTCCTTCCTGCTGACTTCATCTGCCAACCAGAAAGTGGATTTTCTATTCTTTTCTGGCCTGTCTCTCAAAGAGGTATCTTTTTGGTGCTAATGTGATCATTTCTGTCACAGACATTAAGATGTTTTTATAATTTCTAAAGTTTTCAGTTATTAAATCAAGTCTTTTTTTAATTCAGGAGAAAGACATGATTGGTTACCATCAAAATGAAAGCCAAAAAACAAAACAATGAATAAAAGCAAAATATGAACTATATAAAAATAATTATTTTAAGTGATTATTTCTCTATCTTTGGTATCAGTATACCAAAGAACTAGAGAAGAAAAATTTAAACTTGAGTTGTCAATCATGTACTGAAATTATTCTATACTTGTCATACTTCAAAAGGGTGCAAAGAACAGAAAACAAATCTGACGAAGAAGATTCACTTCAAAATAATTCTTACCCTCAAAATTTTAGGGCTGCTGTAATAAGCCATGCCCAGGGCTTCAATTTCTTCACACTGTTCCAAATTTATCCTTCTGGTGCACTTAACAGCTTGGTTCACCAGAAATGCTGGAAATCATAACATTCCCAAGGAAAAAAAAAATGAGAAAGAAGAAATTTTTTAACTGTCCAATGGTAACTAAAAAACTGTAGTCTAAGTAAAACCATAAAATAAATTATAACACAGATATACAACATGCTTAAAAAAGGACTTAAAATTATATTTTTAATACGTAATACACTCAATTCAAAATTCAAAAGGCACAAAAAGATACTGAGAGAGTATTCTTCCAATGCTTGTCCGCCCTCACCCATCCCCAGACACCACCAGAGACAACTACTTGTCCCCAGAGACAACCAGCATCAAGTTTGTTGTGTATCTTTCTGAAATATTCTATGCAAATAAAAGCATGTGTGTACATATATTTTTAGTATTTCTTTCCCCTTTTAGAAACAAACACATGCTATATATTCTACCCTTCGCTTTTTTTACTGAACAATGTCTCTTGGAGTTCAGGCTATCTTAGAACATGATGAGCTTCCTCCTCCTCCTTTTTTTTTTTTTTAGGGATAATTAGTATTCTGTTATGGATATGTCATAATTTATTCACCAAGTTCACATTAACAGACACTTAAGTTGTCTCTGGCTTTGCCATCACAAACAATGCTGCAATCTATTTTGCAAGCGGGCCAGATTCTGTAGGACCAACTCCTAGAAGCAGAACAGTGGGTCAAAGGGCATATTCATTTGCAATTTTGACACATATTGCTAAACTGCTCTTCACAGAGGTTGTACCAATTTGTAGTCCCGCCAACAATGTAGATGAGGGCCTACTTCTCCAGAGCCTTCAAGTTCCTAAGCTTTGCCAATCCATTACATGGAAATGGTATCTCAGTTTGGTTTTAATTTACACTGTTCCTATTGTGAGCAGGGTTGAGTGTCTTTTCAACAGAATCCCCTTTCGTTCCTATATGAAATGATGTTTCATTAGGCCACATGCCACCATACACTCCTTAGCTAGCTTCTTCACAGTGGTGCCGCCTTAAGGATCGGAGAACCACGCCTGCTGCCTCCCACTGCCAAGACAGTTACTCTACAGACTCTGTGATGCTCCTGAAAGAAGCAGGTCCCGCGGGAGGTGGCTATGTAGGCTGCATCCCTGCTCCACCACTGCCTGAGTGAGCCTGAGCAAAAGACTGAATGTTTCTCAGTTTCCACATCTAAAAAATGAATAACCCGACCTTCAGGGATTATTGTGACAATCAAATGGAAAAACATATGCAAGCACACGGTAACTGCTTAATAAATATTAGTTATTGACACACGTTAGCTCCAGTGGAGAAAGAACTTCCCCAAAACTAGAAGGGTTAAACAACTGAGCAGGCTGGTTTCAGGTAGTGAGTTCCCCATCACTACAAGTGTTCAAGCAGTGACTGCATATGGCAGAAAAGATGTGGTTGGGAATCTGACCTGCATAACCTTTGAGGCCTCTTCCAACTCTAAGACTGTTTCCAGTTATGAAGCCTGTTTAATTGTGACTACTATGAATTTAAACTAAGAGCAAACTGTTTATAGACAGAAAGAAAAATACCCACAGTCTTACCTGCAGGGTTATCATCAGTGCACAGAGATGACATAAGGGGAGAGGGAAATCTCAAAAATGAATCTGAAGTCTGCAGACGAGCCCCATACTGCAAAGAGACCAGCCAATAGCTATTATGGTGCTAAGAAAGCATTCATGCAACACATACCGGACACCTACCATGTGCTAGGCAGCATTACAAGCATCAGGAACACAGTGATGAGCAAAAAACAGATGCAGTCTTTGCCTGCATGGAGCGTACACCTAGCTGCCCCACCCCTTTCTTTCAAGGGTATGTGTTTCTGTGTATGTGCATGTCGTTTTATTTGCAGGCTTTTTATTTATTTTTTTTTTTAAAGATTTTATTTATTTATTCATGAGAGACAGAGACAGAGAGAGAGAGGCAGAGGGAGAAGCAGGCTTCCAAGGAGCAGGAAGCCCGATGCGGGACTCGATCCCAGGACCCTGAGATCATGACCTGAGCCGAAGGCAGACGCTTAACCATCTGAGCCACCCAGGCGCCCTATTTGCAGGCTTTTTAAAAGATTCGTTTAGAGCACGTGCGCGTGTGTGCAAGCATGCGCGTGCAAGCACATGCGCGCAAGCAGGGAGAGGGGCAGAGGGAGACGGAATCTCAAGCAGACTCCCAGGCAGAGTACAGAACCCTACATAGGGCTTGATCTTATGACCTGAGCTGAAATCAAGAGTTGGATGCTTAACCGACTGAGCCACCCAGGCACCCCTGCAGGCTTTATTACAGAATTCCTCTGGAAAGGTATATAAGAAGCTGACATAGTGTCTGCCTCTGCAGACAGGAACTGGGTGGCTGGGAACAGGGGTGAGAGAGGTAATTTTTTTTTTTTTTTAAGATTTTTATTTATTTATTTGACAGAGAGGGAGAGCACAAGCAGGGGGAGCTGCAGAGGGAGAGGGAGAAGCACGCTCCCCACTGAGCAGGGAGCCTGACATGGGGCTCGATACCAGGACCCTAGGATCATGACCTGAGCAGAAGGCAGATGCCCAACTGACTGAGCCACCCAGGTACCCCAAGGTAATTATTTTTTACTAGCAATAATTATTTGTTTTATTTTTTTTTAAGATTTTATTTATTCATTTGAGACACAGAGATACAGAGAGACAGAGAGAGCATGAGTAGGGAGAGAGGCAGAGGGAGAGGGAGAAGCAGGCTCCCCGCTGAGCCAGGAACCCAATGTGGGGCTTGATCCCAGGACCCTGGGATCATGACCCAAGCCAAAGGCAGACGCTTAACCATCTGAGCCACCCAGGTACCCCAGCAATAGTTATTTAAATAACAGATATAGCACACATTAAAATCATAACACTGATGGGCCTTCCTTCCCAAAATCAAACTACATGAAACCTTTCCCCAATATTCAAAACAAAATTTACACCTATTGTGCATACAACCAATTTTCTTGAATTTAAAAGTATCCAAATGCTTTGGTGCCAACAAGGATATGGGGAAATAAACCCTCTCCTTCACTGGACCTGGGAGTTTAAACTCCTGTAATCTTTCTAGAGGGCAATCTGATACGGATATTTTAAATTTCCCTTCATTTTGACTAAGTTAATCCAGTTATAGGAAGGTATCTAAGAATTAAATCAAAGATATAAGTATCTATAAGAATGTTCATTGTGGATTATTTATAATAGAAAAACTGGAAACAAATGTCTGTTAATAGTGGGGAATGGCTCAATAATAAAAGCCAATACATACATAGAAGGGATACTTTGTATCAGTAAAATGTAGCTCCAACAGTAGCTCTGACAAGTTACTTTCCTATACAGAAGTTTTTATCAGTTAAATGAGGACAATGATGTATCCTTTTCAGGGTCCTATGAAGTAATGTCTGGAAAGCTCTGCAAGAAATGGTAACTTTTATATTGATATGGGAAGATGCCTAAGATTTATCAGAGTAAAAAAGGAAGCTTACAGAACAATGTAGATAGCTATAAACCCTACTTCTGTATAATACTATATGTATATTTTTATAGATGCATTTAAAAATCAGGAATATAAACCAATCTGTTAACAGTGATTTGCAATGTGCATTTTAGTGGACACAGGGGCCTTTCCATCCTATGTACCTCTATACTTTTAACTTTTAGAATTAGCACATGGTGCTTTTTTACTTCTCTTCAAAGATGCTTCCAAAAAATCGGAAGCTTATTCAAAGTTAATGTATATCGCATTTAAAGGTTTACCAATGAATAGATATAAAATAGCACACATCTTCCTAAAGCCTGTAAAACTAAATGTAGCTTTGAGAAGAGGACCAGGCACCCAACCAATCCACTCCGTGTCCCCAGCAGCATGACTCAAGCACTCTGCTGCGTCTTTTGAGGTAGAGAAGCACAAAGAATTCTGCAGAGACAAAAGCAGGCTTACTAATGAATAAACAACTTTCAACCCTACGTTACAACTCAACTACTCATTTTTAATTTTTGTGATCTTTGATTTCTAGGCATGAACATTAAGTTTTTCCCTCTATAATGTGAATTCGGTCTCCGGGAAGCCAGTTTTGATACTGAAAAATTAACTTACAAGGATGGGATATTTGCAACAAGATGGTGGACTTAATCAAGTTCTTGGCTCACCTTATATTTAGCAGTAGCTGGAATGTCCGACTGGGTTTCGAAAGAAATCTCTGATTCTGAACTCAAGGAAAAACCACCAGATGTTTTCATCAATTTATCAAAATTATTTTCATCAGGCACTTCTGGATTAATAAAGGATAACGCGGGTTTATCTGTTTTTTAGAAAAAGTATTTTAAATCAGCGTAAATATGTACATTATTTATATAACATAATATTTGGAAACAGTTTTTAGTAGCATTAAGGCTGATGTGAAAAAAAATAGTGTCTCTTTCTGTATTTACTTTACCCAAAATTTCTTGAGTTTTATTAAATAAACAGGATCCCCAGACTTGGCCTGCTGTTCTAACAGTGTGGAAGTAATGGTTTCTAAGCCTGCAGGCAAACAGCACAACAGAAGCCAATAATAACCAATCTTTCTCCAGCCCATGGACTGAGAAGCCTGCTGCATTAACCTCTAAGGCAAAGCTCTCTGAAGACGGCCACAGGGACAAATGATTTTTTTCTACCCTCACACAGCCACCTCCAAACCAAAGCCCAGGAGAATAATGTGGCTGTGTATAGAACATCTTGGGAGAAGGAGGAAATGGGCTGGTATGTTCACTTGCCTGGTGTTACGTCATAGAACTTGACAATGACTAACCAGTCCTTACTTTAGATTACAAATCCCAGAGCACCGGGTGGCTCTGGGTGGCTCAGTCGGTTAAGTGTCCCACTCTTGATTTCATCTCAGGTCATGATCTCAGGATTGTGAGACTGAGCTCCATGTCCATCCTGGGTGTGGAACCTGCTTAAGATTCTCTCTCTCTCCTTCTGCCCCTCCCCCTTCCTTTCTCTCCCCCCCACCAAAAAAAAATCAAAGAGCATTTGCCTAGTTTTCAACTGCAAGGGAACAAATTCAAAATATAAAGATGTTCTGAAAAGATGATGAAGCTTAATTGATAAAACCATAAATATATCTCTGATCTTAGATATCTTAACATTTTAAACTTACATGTACTTTGGATCTAGACACCTATTTGAGCTAAATGCTCAGATAAAAATAAAGATCTTGTTTTTATGCAAATATTCTTAGTAAAAATAAAAGAGAAAAAAGGAAATTGAAACCAAAGCTCAACTGATTTTCAACCATTAAACCATGAGGAAATTTTAAAAAAATTATATACACACACACACGTAACTTAAATAAACCTAGATTCCTATGTGTGTCTACATATTATAAACACCAGTGAAATAAAGTATGAGATTTCAGAAAACAACTACATAAGCACATTAGTTTTAAAGAAAATGCTCATGCCCACAGGTCTATAAAGTTACTTGCAGTGGCCTGTGAAACGGCCTCAGAAGATGCACCTTAGCCAAAGCATAAAATTATTGCTTTAAATCTAACCGAATGAGACACTTTTCCATAAAAGAACTTTTTATTTTTTATTTTTTAAAACATTTTATTTATTTGACAGAGAGATAGAGAGCACAAGTAGGCTGAGTGGCAGGCAGAGGGAGAGGGAGAAGCAGACTCCCCACTGAGCAGAGAGCCTGATGCAGGACTTGATCCCAGGACACCAGGATTATGACCCGAGCCGAAGGCAGACACTTAACTGACTGGGCCACCCAGGTGCCCCTCTATAAAAGAACTTTTTAAAGAAAAACTTTCCAGTGTTTCTCAAAGCATATCACCATCAAATACTTACAGTTTGTAATATGAATGCAGAATATAGATGGATTAATCCGGTCGACAAGTTTAAATACCCTTTGAGGTGGATTTGCTGTAAAATTCAATGAGTAGATGGCTGCTTTTTGACTACAAAAGTGACTATCGCCCCTGAAAATTAAAAAATAATAGTACAAAATTTTAAGGCATATGCACACAATCTTAGCTAGATTATTTTAAAACTGTCAGATGTCTGCACTGTACTATGTTAACAGCTACATGGAAGATATTTATGAAAGCGTGATGTTAGAACTGAATCCATTTTTATTTAGTTTATTCAGTGTTAAAATGTTTGGCATTTGAAACTTTTTCCTCTAACAGGGAAAATATTAAGACAAGCAGAATAACCTTTAAGGAAATCTTGTCAAGTATGGAATAAAGATCAGGGTATAATTTTGATGTAAATGAACCCTGTAAACTCTGACACAATCAATCATATAAAATTTTGCAGAACTTCAGATTGTTTTTAAGTACCCAAAATGGATCCAAAATTCCTTGTCTTGAGAATAAAGAGGTCTAAAAGGACTGTGAGAATCAGAAAATGTGAAGTCATCTGGAAGTTTGGGGGCTTAAAAGTTAGGGTACAATTAAGACTTCAACCAATCCCAGACTGGACAAACTCTAATCAATTTGATACAGATATGGTGTGGAAACAGAGATGTATCAAAAAAGGGATCAGGGCGCCTGGGTGGCTCAGTTGGTTAAGCGACTGCCTTCAGCTCAGGTCATGATCCTGGAGTCCTGGGATCGAGTCCCGCATCGGGCTCCCTG